TACTGCTCCGCTCACTGGTTTTGTATATAAATTTTATATATAATTAATGGGTAATTTTTTTTTAATATTTTACGAAATTAAAAAAAAATCGAAAAAAAAAATCATTAATACTTTCATTGAAGTGCTTTTTTATGTTTTTTTGTTGTTGCAAAATAGTACAGTCGAAAATATGCATTGTAACCTTTTAGATACTGCCAATCGGCCAGCCATCCATCCAGCCATATGGTTTTGACTGCCTGAGTTGGCTGTACTACAACAGCCATAATCAGGCGGATGGGGATTATAGTGCGCCTGTGCGAAAAATCAATGAAAACACGGACGGGCGTCGTACAACGAGAAAAAAAGCACAAACAACCGAAAGCACAAATATATATCAGTAACGGGCGAACCACAGCACGCGCGAGAGTAAATATCACTACTCTCTCTCTCACACACATTCAACTGAACCAACTGAAAAACCATTGACACACACACAAAGACAAATGCGTGAGAACCGAATTGTTTACGCTCTGCCCGTGCCTGATATATATCCACCACATATAGAGTCAGTCACAGTCGTCATGATGACATATTTGTAATAAAATCTATCTATGTTTATACATATTTTGTAAGTCAAATAAACTATATAGCACGCACGGGCAGGCGTAAAAAATTCAGTTCTCACGCATTTGTCTATGTGTGTGTGTCAATGGTTTTTCAGCTAGTTCACTTGAATGTGTGTGAGAGAATAGTGATATTTGCTCTCGCGAGAGTGCACACGTGCGATGGTTCGCCCGTTACTGATATATATTTCGCTTTCGGCGTGCTACGTCGTGTTGTGTGTTCGTCGGTTGTTTGTGCTTTTTTCGTTATACGACGCCCGTATATGTATGAGAGATTGTTTGGCTGTCTGTATTTCGGTCTGTAAGTATTTTGGGGTTATTGTGCGCCAAGAACGAACGAAGCAAAAGCGAAGAAACAAACAACAACAAAACTGAAAACCGGGACAAGAGCTCGGCTCGTTTACGTTTGCCAAGTATATAATATATAATACAACTCATGTGTATATACAAGTAAAATATATAGTATACTAGAAATATATATATATATATATATAGTATAAAATATATACTGTATATGTGTACTATATATTTGCGCGTATATATATATATACACTATATAGTATATAATGGAACAGATGGTTGGCGACAGACATGCAATGGAAATTATAAAACTACACAAAAACGGAAAATTAAATGTAAAGAAAGTTTTAATGGCTACGAAACATAAACATGTGGAAAGGGAAAGAGAGAGAGTAGTAGGAGGTTGCAGCAAACCACCTTCTCCCAAATTACCAGGAGTAACAATTTGCACTTCGCTATATAGTATATACATATATAGTACAAGGCAAAGGCAAATAAGTGTGACATAGCCCAGATGATGCTGTGCAATACCAGACCAATGAATGAACGCAGTGGCAGAGAGAGGGGAAGAGAGAAAATACATCACAAAATTACAAGACCGAGAGAGCTACAAGTACAGGCGAAAGCAAAGGAATTTCACACATAAAAACATAAAAAAATTGGAACTTGTTTCAACAACGGAATTTAATTCATGTTGAGGAAGGACAGATTGGAAAGTTCTTTTTTTCAGATATGAAAATAATTCTCAAAAGAAATTGTGTTATTAAAATATTTCTAATAAAATGTCTTCTTCAAAAAATAATCCACAGCTTTATAAGGTGGTTATGAGAAAAATATTTTAAAAAGTTCAGAATATTCTTTAAAAAAGGCCAGAATTTTCTTAAGCACCCTAAAATCTTTCCTTTCAAAATAAAACTCACAACTTTATAAGGAATTAAGAAAATTCCTAAATTCTGAAAAAAATAGAAAATGCCAGGTTATTTTTTTTAAATTTCACGCTAAATTTCTAGAACAAATTAAAAAAAATTAAAATAATTTTCTTTTTAATTTCAGTCTTATAAAAATTCTGATTATTTTAAGATTCCACAATTTTATGATTTTTAAAATAATTTTTTTTTAAACTGCACACCCATAAGAAATATTTAAAACAAAATAATCTAGGAAGAAATACGTGATCGATATTCTCCGAATTTCGAATATTTGGGGTCTATACCAACCACTTGGATCTACTTATCGCATTTGAAATACCAAATTTCCTAAAATGACAGACGGGTATGATTTAATCGACTTAGAATTTTATTTAGGTTGGGTATTTCGTATTTCGAAAAAAATTTAAATAATTTTATGATTTTTATATATATATATATATTTTAATTTTCTAATACAAAAAATTTCAATATTTTACAAACTAAAGAAAACAACGCCTATTTAGAAAAAAATGAGAACAAAAAATGAAAACAAACTTAACTTTCTCCCCATAATACATTGTAGTCGTAATATTGTTGTTGTTCGCCATTATTGTAATTGCAAAAGGATAACAAGTATTTAGGTAGTAGCAGTAGTATTTTATGGGGTTAAGGTACATTGACCTCATTTTGTTGTCTATTCTCACATTTAAAAACTATTTTTATTTTAACTCAAATCTCCACATACAATCCAAGAGGAAGAGAGAGATTCACTATGCACTGAGATGAGAATGATGATGAGAACGTACCACCACCACTCTCATATATATTACATTTATCACATGAACGAACATGTGTGAAGAAAACTAACTGTACGGAACATGTGCAATGTGCAACAAACAACAACAACAACAGTTATTGCATTTATGTTTGCAGAGAACAACAACCATCAACAACAGAGCAGCTGAAAAGTAAATGTAGCGGAGGAGGGAGCTCAGCTCTCTCTCTCTATCACACATTTCCAATTGGAATGTTTTTTAATTTGAATTAAAAAACATGTTTTAAAGAAATTTTAAAGCAAATAATTAAAAAAAAATAATAATAAACCAAATTTAGTTTTCCCGCTGAAAAATGTTAATGCTGAAAAGGAATGACATTGTTGCACTCTCATTTACAGGGAGAGCATAACAAATTGTCCGAGCAACGAGCTCATCAAATTTAGGTCGCACACGAGCTTGCATGCCTATATATTTACATATATGAGTACAAAAATAGGATGCCTTCGTTTTCGCACGGGAAACAGTAGCAGCAACAACAACAAATGTAATTGACATATTCAAAAACATATGGGCGCGGCAATGCATCAAAACAACACCGAGCATCAAAACATCACCGACGACGACGACGTGTGCTGCAGCTGTTTTCGTTAATTGTCGTATCGTATTACGTATACGACAACAACAACGAACAAACAAAACGTAAAAGAGCACAAAAGACGAGGCCGATGTGGAGGAGACTGAGTTATCCTTCGACATTTTTGTTTATAGTAGTCGTGCGTGTGTGTGTGCTTGTTTTTTATACGAAAGCCCCCCCCCCGCCAAAAAGTCATGGAGACTGTTGTTTGTTGTATGAGAGTGTCAGTGAGGCAAGCAAGCACACTCGTGTTTGTCATTGTGTGTGCCTGTTATTCTCCGTGTTGTTTTATTATTATTTTGTGTGTTGTTGTTATTGTTTAATGTAAACAAACCAACTAACCGAGAAAACACCTTTCTCGACGACCTAATTTTGGTTTAAAGTCAGTTAGAAATTTGTGTGCGTCTTTTTTTAAATTGTGTTGGATGAGGTTTTATTTATTTTAGAAAAAAAATGATGTATAGAAATTTTTAAAATATGACATTTTTTAAAAATATTTTTTTATAATGTAGAATTAAAAAAAATATTTTTATGAAAAATAAAAAAAAAATTGAAAAATAATTTTTGGAAACATTTTTTAAAAGGCGTCGATTTTTTTTAATGCGTCGATTAAAAAAAAAATTAAGGGGAGGATGTTAAAAAAAAAACTTTGAAACAAATTAAGTCATGATTTTTTTATGTTTGCAATTTTTCTACGTAAATATTTTTACAAGGTTGGAAGTTTTCAAAAATATTTTTTTTTTTAAATTCGAGTTATTAAAAAATGAAATAATAATTGGAATTAAAAAAAAATCAAGGATTGCATTTTCAAAAATATTCTTCCAAACTAAAAAAAGTGCTCAAAAACCAGTAAGGAAAGTAGTAAAGTCGGACTGGGCGGACTATATAATACCCTTCACCACTTTGGATAAATTCTACATATGCTTCCTAAGAGAAGACTTCACCTTTTCGAAGGAACATTGGCATCAAATTGAACGAACTTGAATATAAGATCTTTATGCCTTTCTGGAACCTATGCTAAGTATCATTTCATTGAACCGATTTTAACGGACGAAATATATATGAGAGCTATATCTAAATCTGGAACGAATTTCACGAAACTTTGCACACATCATTCTAGACTCAATTCAGTACGCTATGCCAAATTTCGGTATAAATACCGAATATTTAGCGCTTCCGTTATTCTAAATGATTCTAAAATTATTCCAAAATACCGAGAAATAGGAGGCATTTTTGAAAAATATGTTTAACATATTTTTTAAGTCTGGATTCTGTTTTTTTTTTAATTTTCAAAAATATTTTTGAATTTTTTAATAATTTTCAGATCTTGGATCTTTTAAAAAAGATTGGTTTGTAATTTTTTCTTAAGGCCTGTAATTTTCTTAGACATTTTTTGAAGCTTCGATTTTTTTTCGAGACTTGGAATTTTTAATGTCGTTATTTTTTGTCAGTACCAAAGATGCTTGGATTTTTTTTTTCAGGACAGCAAATAAAAAAAATATATTTTTCAAATTTTGGAATATTTTTCAAAAATTTTTTAAGGTTTAAAATTTTGTTTTAATGTGTGTAATTTTCTTATAGGCATTTTCGCCGAAGTATTCAGAATGTAAGGCAACAGCCTGTATAGCCTTGCCTTCATATTTCCAATATTATTGTCAAATATAAATTGAAAATAACTAGCGGAACAGCAGCAGGTGTTCAATCTTTTTTTTTCGTCTGATGATTCATTATTTAATTTTGTAAAAATCTATTCGCGATAGATGATGCTCTGCTAACATACCTTACTCAATTTTTCGCCCTCATGTCGTGGCAGCAGTGAACGTAAATTTTGAAAACCGGCATTGATACTCTGCATACGCCTTCGTTCATTGCTGTTGGCAATTTCACGACGCATTCTCTTCTCATTCTCTAATGTTGTCTTATTGACCGATGGTGGGGGTGGCAGGGTGCCGCATGCCAATTTTGTACCGCCTTGAGATGACATATTGTTGCCGCTGCTGTTGTGACGTTGACGTGATGCCGATGATTGCTTCGATGATGGCGAATGATGTTCATATGTTTGTTCGCCCTGTATTATATAGGATTCACCTCCGGAATCTTCCAATTGTAATCTGAAATTTAAAGAAATAGAAAAATTAGCATATCAAAAATAAATAAGTGAAACAAAAATTGAGATTTTTTTTTAGGGAGTAATAATATGGTTTATAATAAGTAGGGACCTTTATATGGAGGCTGCTATGACAAACCATGGGCCTATATCGAACATTTTTTGCCAATATTTTTCACCTTCCAAGAACCCATACCCATGCTAAATAACAGTCACTTCGTTAGGGAAATACGATAAAAACCTTCTTCTAAGTAAATGAAAATCTGACGTAGGTCTTTGTCAAAATATAGACCTACATAGTCTACTTTTTGTAGTACTATCTGACAATTTCATGTTTATTTCTTGAATATGCAAAAAAAATACGTTTTACGACGACTTTTCATTGGAATGCAAACAAGAATCCCGCCAATATGTTGTGCACACCACTTATTGGTGTGCGTATGCATGCATACAACAAAACATATGTATATGAAGACATGTTTTTGCAGAAAACAACAAAACAGCATGCATGAATGAGCTAAATGTACAGCAAAGTCAACCAAATCAATCAATACAGAATAGAAATGCCTGCATAAGCAAGAGTAACTGGGTTCCTGTATATAAAAGAAGTGAACGTGAACGAGTGAGAGCGAAAGACACAGAGAGTGGGGAAAATAAAGAGTTAAACACCACACACAGCAAAACAAAAATCTGTGCTAGAATGCATTGGAATTTTCATTGGAATGGAATGCAGTTTCATTCACCTTTTTATTTAATTCTTTGTTGTTATTGTTATATGGCATACACATGCACAATCATAACTCAGGCAAGCAAGCGAAGCAAACAAATCAAAACAACCAAGCCAATCTTAGGCAAACAGCAACAACACAAATCATCACACACACACACTAATACATAAATAATGATGGATGGGCCGGGGACGATAAAATGCCGCCAAGCCACTGTGTGTTGTTTCACCTTCGTATTTTTCTTGTGGTCAACACAAATCATCACACACACATACTTCATAAATAATGTTGTGTGACGAAGAGAGGTATGTTTTCACTGTGTTTCACCTTCGTATTTTTGTTGTGGCCGTCGTCGTTGCCTTCGTCGTTTGTTGTGTGACGAAGAAGAAGAGATGCATGTTTTGCACAGAGATGAATGTTTACATTGTTGTTGTTATTATTGCTGAATGGAAGGAATGTGAGTGGCTTGGCTTGTTGTTTTGATATATTTATCAGCTGCTTTATGACGGTGGGCTTTTCACAAAAAAAAATGTATACAAAACGTAGTAAAGGTGGGTCGGCGGCTGCTGTCGGTCGCTCGGGTCGCCGCCCGATTGTCTTTTAACAACAACAATGATGATGATGACGATATGAAGAAAACAACAACGAAGACGTTTTAATGTTAAGACAAGATGATGCTTGCAAGCAAGGTTGGCTGTCTGGCTGATGCTGTACCCATTTTGTGATGCAAACACACACAAAGCGAATGCGAATTCGCCGTTGACATGAAATTTCTAGGACTGCGAGAGAGATATATATGAGAGAGAGCTCTTATATGATAGCTTCCATGAGTTTTACTATTATTAGTTTTGTTGTTGCATAGAAAAAAAAACACTAACAACAAAACAGATTCAAGAATGCCAGCAAAGACGACAATAAACGACCTTTCTGTTGCAATTTTTTTTGTGTTAGAGAGAATGGGAGCAAGTGGGAAGGGAAGTGAGACTAAAAGAAAATCTAAAAATAAATGCAGTATTTGTTTATAAATAAGAGAATAATTCATTTAACGTGATCTTTAAGGGGTTGCCGCTGCAATTGCAAAACCATAGATGGCGCTGTTGTGGTGAGAAGAAAAATAGAGGAAAAAGCGGCGGGCGATGAGTTTGAAATAAAAATGGAAATAATTAAGGAATTGAAAATAAAAGGAGTTAAACGATCCCAAGACAACGAAACGGTGATTTTTTTCAAGAACAATCGTGCATTTTGTGAAGAATATTTTTTGGGCGATTTTTACAGTAACTTTTGGGGGATGGATGGATGACTTCAATAAGCATGGATTTTTTAAAAAATATTTTTGTAGTGAAATTTTTTAAGGAATATTTTTAGGTTTCGGCGTACCTCCCATAAAATGATTCTCCTTTTTCGACATTTTAAGGACTTTGACCTCATCATCCTCCTGTCCTGAAATTCAAATTAAATGAAATATTTCCCACCAAGTGAAAATATCAATGGGAGGTCGATTTCTCCCTCTCTCATTGTCTGTTTCATATGTTGGTTTATTACAAATATACCTAATCCCAACACCCCATCACCCCCTCCTCCTCCCTCCGAAACACCACATCCGTATTTTTTATGCCATATGTTTACTGTGTGGGGCGAAAAAATTTCGAAATATTTGTTGTTATGGTTTTTGTTGTTTTTATAGCTGTGCACAACATGATGATGTTATTGTTTTTTTTTTCGTACATACCGATGACGTTATTTATGTATGTCAAAAGAACGAATGCACGCCTATGTACACCAGAGCCAGACCAGGCCATGCAGCCAGCCACCCGAACGAACGAACAAGTGCAACATAATCACATGAACGAACGAATAAAAAAACAATGTTCCCAGGAACAAAATAATAAAAACAAGAACAACAACAAAAATTGGAAGTAGGTCAACAAACCCTGGAAAGAAATTATCGATGACGTCAACTATGACCTAAAAACAAATACTATATACATAAGCAATTGTAGTATATTCTATTTTTTTATAAATAGGGTTGGGTGGGATTTTGAAAAAAAAAAAAAAAATCTGAAACTTGAAATGTATTACCAAGACCTAAAATAAGGCAACAACTAATTTTTTAAGGAAACAATTTAGAGGTAAATAAATAAAACATTGCTTACTTCCGCCGAATGGATATTCGGACGAATATGGATAATTTTTGAAAGAAACAATTAATATTTTTTCTTTTTTTTAATTATGTTGTGGATTTTTAAAAGGATATTGGTTGAAGATGTTAAAATATTTTTAGAGAGACCCATTTAGGATTCCAACTAATTTTTACAATTATTACAAATACAATTATATTATTTTATTTTCACAGAAAAGTGCATATGCCAAAAAAAAACTAAGCTATCCACACATTAATATCGACCATAAATTAAATTTGAGTACCATTTAGTACCGAATTTCATGATTCGAGCTCCACAGGTTCACCCAAATTCAAATTGTATCAAATTTAGCACACATTATTTCCAAGAGTACCTACCTCAACAATTCAACCAAACTTCCTGCATACCCCGATCGACCATACACCCTCACAATGATTCCAAATTCAAATTTCAGGATTCCAAGTCACCCGCAATTTCAACCAAATTTATGGTCCAACCAAATTTAGTACACAATCGTACGAATTTCCATAACTTCCTATTTAACCCAAACCTACACCTCCACTGATCCTAAATCGAAGTTTCAGGATTCCAATTCTATCGGTTCGCCTACAATTCAATCTGTACCAAATTGAATACACAGTAGTACGAATTTCCAAATTTCTCCACAGTGATCCTAACTCCAAGTTCCAGGATTCCAATTCTATATGTTTACCAACAATTCAAATTGTAGCAAATTTAGTACACAGTAGTACCAGTGATCCTAATCCAAGTTCCAAAACTTCCCACATACCCCAATTCTACACCCCCACAGTAATCCTAACTCCAAATTTCAGGATTCCAATTATATCTGTTTACCAACAATTCTAATTGTACCAAATTTAGTACACAGTAGTACCAGTGATCCTAATCCAAGTTCCAAATCTTCCTACACAACCCAAACCATCACCCCAACAGTGATCCTAAATCCATGTTTCAGGATTACAATTCTATCGGCTCACCCACAACTCAAATTGTACCAAATATAATGCACAGTAGTACGAATTTCCAAAACTTCGTACATACCCCAATCCTACACCCCCAGTCATCCTAAATCCAAGTTTTAGGATTCCAACTTTCAAATTGTACCAAATTTAGTACACAGTAGTACGGATTTCCAAAACAGATTGATTTAAATCCAAGTTTCAGGTTTCCAACTCTATCGGTTCACCCACAATTCAAATTGTACCAAATTTAGTACACAGTAGTACCAGTTTCCAAAACTTCCTACATACCCCAAGCTTACACCGCACAGTGTTCCTAAATTAAAATGTCAGGATTTCAACTGTTTCGGTTCACCCACAACTAAAATTGTACGAAATTTAGTACACATTAGTACAAATTTCTAAAACTTCCTACATATCTCAATCTAACACCTCAACAGTGATTCTGACTCCAAATTTCATGATTTTAGCTCTATTGGTTCGCCTAAAATTTAAATTGTACCAAATTTAGTACCATTTAGTACCCATAAATATTATTTTCTTAAACTGAATCCTGACCCTACAATGATCCTGATTCCAAATTTCATTGTTGCAGCTCTATCGGTTCATCCAAATCCAAATGGTACCAATTATAGTACGATTTAGTACTTTTAGTACCTATCAGTAAAAAATTTCCAAAACTACGTACATATCCCATTTCTACACTCCGACGGTAATTTTAATTTAAAATTTCAGGATTCCAGCCCGATTTGTACCTCCAAAATAAATTTGCACCAAATATAGTACTTTTCGTCCACACGAGTACACGTTTCCAAAGCCAGCTCCTTATATCGACCAAGAGTGACCCAAATTTTCCCACCCAAAATTTCAAGATTCTAGTTTCAGCCGTTTCGTCTGGGCGTTGATGAATCGTTAAATCTGTCACTCATTAATTTTTTGGGAGATTTTAAAATTTTATTTTTTTTTTGTTTTTCAAGCATATTTTTTGATTGATCAAGTGTTTGGAAATAATAAGCATATTTTTTTAATTGATAACATGAAAATTCTTTTACATGACAAATTTTCCATTACAAAAAAAAAAAATCCTTGAAACTTTCCTAAACATTTTTTTTAAACGCGGTAATACCAGACTTTTTGCTTCATTGAGAAAAAAAC